TGTATGTATGTATGTATGTATGTATGTATGTATGTATGTATGTATGTATGTATGTATGTACGTACGTACGTACACACACACACACACACACACACTGTGTGTAACCTTACAGGGGATTTAGAATTACTAAATGTGTTTATCGTTGTGATGAAGGTTGGAAGTCATTTCTTTATATATTTTTCTTTATGCTTTCTTTCCTGCACTTTTTTTTCCTTTCAATTCTCTTCTCCTTCTCGAAGTGTAATTTTTATTAGTTTTTACTGTTTATTAATTTTTACTGATTTTTTAAAAAAAAAATTAAAAAAGTATATGCAGAAACAAAGACGGCGTCATACATTTATAGTGTCATGCATTTTTGTTTGAAGTACAAACAGCTTATCTGGCCAAAAGGTGTTCTTTTCCAGAAACTGAACAAACATGCACAATCAGCTTTTCAGATTTGTTGATGTAACCATGAGAGTCAAGGGCTTAAATCAAATTCTATTCATGCCACAATCCTTGGAGATTCTGGACAGGCAACTGCTTTCCTACAGCTGCATATTAAAAATATTATCTATGTTATCCCCATACAACAAACAGTTAGAATGCAGATTGAAGAAACAAAGCTTCAAATTCTCATTTAGCTTATTTAGGGAAGAGTTAATATTATCCCAACTTCACAGGAAAGTTGTGAAGACAGATTGAGAGAATTAAGAGTAATGCTGCAATAAATTTGAAGAGTGGAGGAGGAAGTAGAATATTATTCTCATAAAAAGCAATGCCTATAACTAATCTTTTTATGTTCTGGAGCAAAGGTGCTCCAGAATTATTTAACATTTTAATACATTTAAATATAAATATATTTAATAAAATTCAGATTCAGCAGAAATGGTTTATCCTTATACCATTTAGGAAATTCACAAAGGAGCCTTCTCCAACCTGTCAAACTCCAGATGTGACATAACAATAGGATCCCAGCAAGCAGATATTCTAGTTAAATCTTCCAATTACTTCAGTCCCAAGACAAATGAAGGATACTTGACTGGGAAACTTGACTTCAGTGTTTAGCTCACACAAACTGTAATGATATCTTCCAGGGCCCTCAAATCCAATGAACTGTTAAGTACATTTTGCTTTAAAATGACTGTAAACACACTGTTCTAAGTGGCATGCCTTACCCATTTGGCTTCTGTCAGCTTTCACCCAGTCTTCCAAATTTATCTGAGCTGAAGAAACCAGTTGCAACCAGAATTCCAGTAAAAGTGCTAATGACAAAGAATCTGAAACTGATTTCAATGCACACTTCATTGAATATATTAAAACTAATTTCTAAGTAAGCTTTCACAATTGGGATAAAATATCTAATTTAAAAGATTTACATGGCCACCCATCTTAATATCTGTAGCATCTTTCAGTATGGCAAAGAGGGAATTGTTATATTTAAGTCTCCTTGACATTCTGATTGCTAGAGTGCCATTCAAATCACTTTACAGTAAAAGGCAGAAATGGCTTCATTCCCAATCCAGTTTTTTATTGTATTTAACTGAGCTCTATCAGACCTTTAAAAACAATCCAAAATAATGTTTTGAGTATTTTCTTTGGGGTTTCTTTTTTGGTTATTACTATTAAATGGTATTCCTCAAAGACTACTTGGCCAGTTTATGTAAGCACTTCAAATGTCTATTACAGCCTCTGCTTTTCCGTTTGTTCCAACAAGCCATCACGAAGGGGGGGAAACCTCTTTTGCTGCTGTATAAAGTGGAAATACTGCAATTATGCATTTCTGGAGCCAACTAGCTTTGCGGTATCCTTTAAAAGTTACCATTCAAGTGAATAATTTTAGGTTGCATGCAAGAACTTCACACACGTGGGTCAGTAAAGACACTCACAGCAGCCATCAGTGAAAGTAGCGTTAACAAGCTGAGTTCTAATAACTCAACAAAAATAATCTTCGGCAGCCTTTAAGAGACCCGACAACATGGAAAAAAAATCTCTTCTAGACCAAAAGGAGAGAAACACAAGACACAAAGGCTAAAGACTGCAAACTCCCAACTTGGGGGAGGGGGGCGGCGGCGGCGGCGGCGACTTCGATTTCTGCAACTGCTAGTTCGCAAGCACCGCCAGCCTATTGAGTCATCAGTAGCATCCGTTGCAACAAGGACAGCTCGGCTTCCGGGAGGTTAGGAGTATCTAGTGCATGCATACAACAGAATCCAGACACACACACACCCAAACTGGCAGAAACCTGTTCTGTCCGGATCGGCTCTTAGCAGTAGCGGCGGCAGCGCGAGCTTGAACCTGGGGAAAAGAAGTTCGCGCCGCCGCGAAGGCAAGAAAGCGCGCGCTGGAGGCTTGCGCCCGGGAACCCTTATTTGACAAACAAGCTGACCGCTAGGAGGCGCTACAGGAGTCGTCCCCCACCTCTGTTTTAGGAACCTGCCCCAGCAATTCAGAGGATACTTCTTTAAAAGCTGTGGGGGCAAGTACGAAGTCTATAATAAAAAGTACACGCGGCCCAAGGTTACATCAACTCTCCAGCCGGTCAGCGTTGACTGCAGTGTGGCGCGATTTTCTTTCGAAAGTTTCGCTCGCCCCCCGCGCGCGACTGTTTCACACGAGGCTTTTTGCCCTGGGAATGTAGCGGACATACCAGGGATTTGCAATTGCGAAGCTGCAAAGAACTACTCAGGTGCTAGTGACACCCGGAGTTTGGTCTGGGCACCAGCCGGATCCACTCGGACTGCTTCGTTGCATTTTTCAGTTTCCTGGTCTGGGTCAATCAATGTTTGCCGCTAGGGCTTCGAAGGGCAAAGCTTGGGACTCAATCATTATGTCCACGCCTCCCCACTTTTGAACGGCTTCTCGGGTGAGGTGGTGGTGGGGGGTCTTTAGTGTATCCTGCCGTTTCTCCTTCGTTGAAAAGATGTCGATGCTGCCGGGTGGGCCTGAGGAAGAAATTAGCGCGGATGCCTTCCGCCAGACAATACTCGGCGCTCCCTGCGGCAGTTTACCTTAACTGACCTTCCTGCGAGGCAGGCTTGAGGCAGACTTAAGCGAGAGGCTCCGCCGCTTAACAATCCCGTGTTGACATAAGCTGAAGGGAATTTCCCCTTGTTGCTCTCACCCACCCGCCACAGACAACCCCCCGCAAATTCACGTACTGATGAAGACAGTGGAGCAGAATCCATGCAGGGGAGGGGAGGGAAAAGATGGTACCTTTAACAGTACGGAGAAGTGTTGAGAAAGAACGCGTCGAACTTGCTTAGGAGATGCTCCCTTGCTGGAAGCAGGGCGGGGGTGGGGGAGAGGAAAGACTGCAGTCTTGGGAAGCGAGGAGTCTCACGCGAGGGACCTCCTCCAACCGAGATGGCCTCTTCGAGGTTGAGCTAAAGTAGAGATTCCAAGCGGCGCAGCGATGCTTCCTTTTGCATTTAGATGCTCAGCCTCTATGAAATGTGGAGCTGGGAGGGAGTTTACATATAGTGCCGCTTGGAATATACATTGCTAACTGGGGGAGGGAAATGGTTTTTCGAGTTCTGCCTCGGCGCTGCTTCTTATAAAAGAGGAACTTAACAAGGGAGGAAAAAAAGGGACGGGGAAAGTCTCTTTATAACCGCGCGTCTGGGCTGCGGCTTAGGCGAATTACATCAGTTTTATGCCCTTATGAGCAAAGAGGGGAAGGTGTCACGAAGGGAAGCAAACGTGGCACAGCCCGTCCGCTCTCCAAATAAAAACTCATCTACCCCACCCCCGCCGCACCCTTTCCCTTGGGTTTGCCGCCACCTCTCCCACGTTACTCGTTCAGGTCGCGGCTCCTGCGGCCGCCCGGCGCGCGCTTCCCTCTAGAGCGCGCGGAAGCCGGCCCGCCCGCCCGCTCTTCAGCTGCTGCAATTGCAAAACCGGGTTCCGGCGCGCACATGGCGCTGCTGAGTTACAGCGCGCGCCAGATTCGCCGGTAGAAACCGGCTTGAGCCGGTATATAAAAAAAAGCGGAGCTTGATGTGGTGTGAACCAGAAGAGACGGCAGCCTTTGCTTTAAAAAGGGGAGCGGGTGCGCGTGGGAAGGCGAGGGAGATCGCGAACGAATCGAGCCGAGGGCAGAAATCCCCCCGGAAAAATTAAAAAAAACTCGGGAGCGAAGGGGGCGCCGGCTGGCCATGGAGCAGCCTTGGCACCAGCAACGGGAGCCTAGCATCGGATAACGAGCCAGACTCCCCGCCGCTCTTTCCCGACGAAGGGGGTCTATTTTTGGAGCAGGGCAGACTCCACCTTTTCCAAAAGGGGGTCAAGAGTATAAGTCTGAAGCGACTGCAGCCCCTTCCCGCGCCTTCTGGAGCGGGGTCTTTGGTTCGCGCTACTGAGGGCGAAGGGGTCGGGTGTTCCAGCCGCTGCCTCAGCATGTTGCTGACCAGGTCATAGACCAAAGGTGCTCTTCTCTGCAGCTTGGGGGGGAATCCTTTTTTCTTCCACACCTTTCTCTCCCCAAGTTGCAGCAGCAACATCGTCTGCTGACCTGGTAAGTGACTTTTCTTCTGGGCACAAGTTTGGTTGTCTTGCTGTCGTTTTTTTTATTTATTTAACGGTTACTTATTGTTTTAATCGGAAATAACATCCGTCTCTCTGAAAGAAAAGGGATCCGATTGGAAAAATAAAGTGTAACTGTGTCTTGGAGGTTGCACAGGATATGAAGAATACAATCCTGGGCCTTCGTGCCCACTGCTCACTTCCCACGCTCTAAACATGCATCGCGTGGACAGGGAGCGGGCAACGGAGGGGTTGCTCTTCCATTCGGAAGAAAATACTTAAAGAAAGAAATAAGAAAAAAAACCCTTGCGTATAATATAGGTCTCTCTTTTCCCCCTTCTGTTTTTAAAATGGGAAAAAGAGCTTTATAAGGCGTTATTTATACAAGGCGAAAGAACAGCGCAGATTTGCATTCTGTCAATGCGCTTTAAACCGGATTGAGGATAACCGCATGGCGCAACGTGGCCGCTAAACATTCTGTTCCGCGCTATTGAATTCTGCAGGCGTCGCATCTCCGCTAAACAAAGCCCTTGGATTCCACATCGTTTTAAAGCTGCGCTTTTCTGAGCAGCGACCTGGAAGGTGCAAACGAAGTACAATGTTGAAGCAGAAATGGCATAGACAGGACTTAACAATACATATTCTCCAGAAGCAAATGAAACTAATATTGGAGCCTGTCCTATGCCGGGCTTTAGACAGGATTTGATCAAAATCTCACATATGTACGGATTACTGTATTATGACTCAGATTACCTAAAGCCTTAACTATTTTCTTTCTGCCCCAAATTTTTTTTGGGAGGGGAATGAAATTCTTTTAACATTTGATTTTGCTGTAGGATTTGTTACACTCCTTAACATATCACCACATTCATGTAACATGTAATGCAAACCAGGTAAGATTATTAATACAATAGTCCTGCCTGGTCCGTATTAAGTGTTACAGTAACAAAAGTTACTTTGCTCTTTTACACAGATTTTTGAAATATTAGATACTTCCTGTTCTTATTCCTCCAAATTTGAAGTTATCAGGCACAAACTGTCAGGTCTTATGGTTTCATAAGCACCTGTGCATTGCAGGTTGACTAAAAATAATTACTGATTTTCCTTTCTGTATAATTTTTACCTATTTTAATTAACATGTTAAAAGTTCCATATCAGCTTTAAAATGGCATAGCAGTGCCTTTGGACTAAAACATAAATGATTTTATGAACGTTTAAAAACAAAGTTTTTTTAAAAATTTGTCTCTTGCAAACCAAATCTTAAAATCCTTCCTCTTATACAACACTGAATCCTATATTTCAGGAATTATTTGACAACATAAATTAATTTCAAAACACATTTATTGACATAAAAACTCTTGATAAAGAAATGTTTTCCTGAAAACATTAAAACTCTTTATTACATACTTTAAATTATTTTTTCTAATTATTTTGCTAACTTTCTCCTAAATGTATCTCACATGCAATTTGGCACACTTAAGCACTTATATTTCACTACATATATGGTAATTAAGTCCATGACATCAGGGAATTTGTTCCTTATCAATAGTACAGTAAGAGTGTACACTGGTACTAAGACATAATAGTATTACTGTATGTATAGAAAAATCTTGTGTATCAAGGATACAGAATTGCCTATTTAGATATAGTCAAACTCGAAACTCTGTTAACTGGGACTAAAGCAGAACTTTGTATGCATAAATGTTTCCAAGCACTCCCACAGAACTGGCAGCTAAAGAATCATTGGCAATTGCAGCAGGATAGGATACCTGCCCAGAGTTATTTTTGCAAATCTTTGCACTGCAAGAATGCTGGAATAAAAGATGGATGGTCCAAGAATTTTAAGCCAGTGACTTTATTACTTTTGTCATGAAGCAAAGTTCTTCCATCTCCCCCCCCCTCCCGTGGAAAGTTGCTCTGCACTCCATTGAGAAAATATACTTTAGAGATACAAATTCTGACTTCATCATATTGAGATACTGAATTAGAACAGTTCAATTGTTTCAGAAAGCATTGCTATTAATTTTTAGAGCCCCAAGATCTTCTAATACCACTTTCCCCAATGTTCTGTTGTCCAGCCCCACTAAAATAGAACTCTCATATATTCCTGCATTTCTTGGGATTAAAATACCGATTATTGCATGAGGGCTCTTTTTGGCTCCTAGTACTGCTTTAATCTACCAAAGTTGAGGCATCAGTAGAGCAGAAAAAGGGAATTGTAGTCTCCAAATTGAAACAGAAAACTCTTCGATACACTCAGAACACTTGAGTATATTATTTCCAAAGTTTACTCATGTGGAAAGTGCTCTGAACACTCATATTTCAAGAACCACTCAAAGGTTACATGGTGTGCCATTAACCTGGGACTATACAAAGTATCAGCACAAAGAACTTTTGCAGGCATGCTTGACTCTGTTTTAGAGTGCACTAGATAAGGACCTTTTATTGAGTTAACAAGCACCTTGAGAATCAGCAATTACTGCCTGTGCATCAGTGGTGGGATTCACATTTTTTTTACTACAGGTTCGGTGGGCGTGGCCTGGCTTGGTGGGTGTGGCAGGGGAAGGATACTGTAAAAGCTCCATTCCCCTTCAGGGGAAGGGTACTGCAAAATCCCCATTTCTTCCCCATCAGCTGAGACTCGGGAGGCAAAAAATAGATGGGGGCGGGGCCAGTCAGAGGTGGCATTTACTGGCTCTCCGAACTTCTCAAAATTTCCATTAATGGTTCTCCAGAACTGGTCAGAACCTGCTGTGTATAGCATCAAACAGTCATTTGTACCGTGTACAGGTAGATCTTGACTTATGAGCAAAGTTCTGACGGAAATGGCCCCCCCCCATTTTTTTTTACTTAGAATCCAGTTGCAACATTCGCCCCAATCTCCCTAGGTCATGTGACTGCATTTTGAGCAGCCAGCCCAGATTTGCAGCGCTCCACAATCACATGACTTGATTTATGCCATTTTTGCCAGAAATGAAAGTTTACTTCCAGTTTCCAGCAAAAAAACAACAGCCCATAGTAAACAATGGGTTCCATTAATGAGTGCCACATTTGCTCAATGACAGCCATTAAAAAAGATAAAATTGGGTCCAGTCATACGAAGACTTGCTTTATAACCCTAATTGTGGACCTAAATTATAGTTGTAACTCAAGAATTATCTGTATAGGCTGTTTTAGTGCTTAAAAAGGGCCAGTTTGGTATAGTGATTAATATACTGAGCTAAAAACTGGGAGACCATGAAATTCTTGTTCTGCCTTAAGCTCAAAAGCAGTTGGGTTATCTTGGGCGAGTCTATCTCAGTCTGAGGAAGAAGCAGTGGTAAGCCAATTTGGAAACCTTGCCAAGTAAACTGCAGGGACTTGCCCAGGCAATCATCAAGAGTCAAAACTGACTTGAAAAAAGAGAACAAGGAACATTTAAAATCTTCATATGGATGGTTCAGCATTTTCAACTATGAAGACATCTCTAACAGTAGTAGGATAGGCTTGGATTTAATTAGAATCCAGCCTCAAGAACAGATTGCAAATACAGGATTCTCCTACTCTCACTACAGCTTTGGGATTGTCGTGGATTCTTTTTTACCCCCAGAACTGCCCTCTACTATATTTTCATATGATCCTTAATGGCCTTTTCTTGAATGACATCAGTCTGTTCTTATGATGAAATATATTTTGAGCTTAGAAATTCAACTACACCTATAAAATCATAGCGTAATTTGTGGTAACGAGATGGGGGGTTGATAAGACAAATTTACTTCAATTCTACATAGTCTAGGGCAGGATGGTGAAACTCGATTTCATTGAGGGCCACATCGGGGGGGGGGTTGACCTAGAGGGTCTGGAGTTGGTGTGGCCAGCTCATCACTCATGTTGGGGGCACCTGTGGTCTGACCCATGTTTTTGGCTGTGGCGGCCTCCTGCAACCCTCTGCCAGCAAAAATGCAGCTTGGAAAGGCCACATGTGGCCTGCCCCAGCTCTGTTTTCGCTGGCTGAAGCACTGCGGGCCGGTCCTTTGTTTCCAGGGTGACCCCATGGGCCAGATCTAAGCACTCCCCCCCCCAGACCTTGAGTTTGACACCGCTGGTCTAGAGGAAACTATATTTTTTAATATTTATTTCACACTTAATATCTTATGTTTTAGCAAGTGAATTTTATGTGCCTTGTGTTTTTAGAGGATACCCCAATCTTATCATTGTTTCTATTTCAGATCAAAATGACTGTCAAAACAACCAGAATGTCATGCATTGCCCCAAATGTTTATACTAAAGTGCCTGATGGAGGATGGGGATGGATTGTGGCATTTGCTTTCTTCTTCGTAGAGGCCTTGACATATGGCATTATCAAGTCCTTTGGGGTCTTCTTTACTGACTTAATGGAATGTTTTAATGAAACCAACTACAGGATATCGTGGATAATCTCAATATGTGTATTTGTACTTACGTTTACAGGTAAGCATATACTTAGATAATGGTTATATGAAAACTTACAATATACATGGATACCTATGACTTAAGACAGTGATGGCGAACCTCTTTCGCCTTGGGTGCCAAAAGCACATGCATGCGTGCTATCACACACGCTCATATGCCCACCTCCATAATTTAATACCCCCATCGCGCCCCATGCATGACTCCCCTGCTGCCCCATGCCTGCACGCATGACTTTCTTGGAGCCTGGGGAGGGCAAAAATGGCTGAAAATCATCTGGACGGCTCGTGCGTGCACACTGGAGATGACAGGGCAATGCCTCACGTGCCCTCAGAAATGGCTCCGTGTGCCACTGGTTCACCATCATGGACTTAAGACCTGTGGTTTCAATGAGTTTAAAGGGGCCCTACCCAGCATAAGGCTTGGTTATACTATTGGTGGTCATTTAATGACCACTTGTTTAGCAATCATTCAAACTTAGGACAATCCTGTAATTACAATCAGACCTTGAACTTGCAGCCATGGTACCCTTCCCTGAAGCAAAGTGATCGCGATTTGGGCATGTAATATGCATTTATTATAAGCATTACTCTTTGCAATCTTCACAGCTGGCTTTCCACCAAGCAAAGTCAATGGGAAAGCAGGCAGTAAGTTGTGGTCAGATGATGTTTGCGCTTAACAACCCATAGTGATTCACTTAACCACCACTGTGGGTCTGCTGTAAATCTGGTGTGGTTATGAAGTTTTGGGTTAACAACTGTGTCACTTAATGACAGATTTGCCAGTTCCGACTGCAATCAGTAAGCAAGGACTACATATATTTATCCCAAGTGCGATTGCTCAGACACACCAGCTCTTGTCTTTCAATAATATGATTCTGAAAGAAATACGGTACTAGAACAATTAAGGATTGCATTCTGTATACATTAGGCTCTTGGAGAAAGTCTACTTTTTAATGCATTTTATGTTTAATAACTGTTCTAGATGGTGTAAATTCAAGTTTACATAATTGAGGGACCGTTCTGTATAATATCTGCCCATTCTGTTTGATTCTGCAGAGCTGGCATGCTTTGATTACCTATTAATCAAACCATGTCACCTGATGGGACCTGAGGAATAGCGTTTCTCTATTGAAACGTGGAATGCCTGCCAAATTGCCACAATGGACTTATTAATGAAATATACATAGTAAGGGGGATTATTTATATTGGTGTCTTTGAGTCACTGGCAACTTCTGGACTTGTTCCTACACTTTACTGTAAGGTTTTTCAGTAGTTTCCCATTGCCTCTCAACCTTCTCAGGTTGAGAGATCAGCCAAGATCACCAACTGACTTTGTGCCTAAGAAAGGACTAAAACTCCCAATCACCCAGTTTTTAGCCCGGTGTTGTAACTCCTTAACTACCAGACTGGTTATCATGCATTATGTAAATGTGTGTATGTATGACATACTACTTGGGACTACTCTTATAGAGTAAAAATAAAATAATCAGAAGTAAATTACTGGTACCTGGTAAATTTGAATCACTGAACCAGTGACTTATAAGTTGCCACATTCCTAGCTGTTGGATACAAGGTGTTATAAGGGGAGGAGAGATTTGGAGGGCCCTGCTAACCAAAGCACATAGATTGGGTTCCAGTATTCTGGTCTGAAAAGAGATATAAACAATCTTTCTTTTTGCAGCTCCTCTTTCTACAATTGCAGCTAATCGTTTTGGTCATCGTCTGGTGGTAATGATTGGAGGGCTACTGGTCTGTGGTGGAATGGTTGCTGCTTCCTTTGCACGTACACTGGTTGAAATGTACATCTCAATTGGCATAGTTTCAGGTGGGTTTCTTTTAAAGAAATTTTGCACTATCATAATTTTGCAAGAAATGTTTACCTTCAGAAATAGTAGTTCTTGTATGAAGAGACCAAGGTATCTTGGAAATAGAAACATTTGCAGTTCCCAGTTCTGCTGAATGACTTGTCAGGAATGAGCCATGGTGGCACACTGGTTAGAATGCAGCACTGCAGCCTGCTTTTGCTGGCTGCCTACGATTTGGCAGTTCAAATCTCACCAGGCTCAAGGTTGACTCAGCCCCCATCCTTCCAAGGTCGATAAAATGAGGACCAAGATTGTTGGGGGCAATATGCTAACTCTGTAAACCACTTAAAGAGGGCTGTAAAACACTATAAAGCAGTATATATATGTTTTCCCGAAAATACAACCTGTCCTGAAACTAAAGCCTTGCCACATTTTTTGCGTGGGAAAAAATATAAGCCCACCCCCAAAAATAAACCCCCTGGACAATCCCCCCTCCGGCCAGGCAGAGCACCACTCACCGACATAGCGGTATCCTGAAGATGCCAAGCCACAGGAGCCAGGGGGGAGAAAGGCACTCACATTGCTTTCCGCCTTTGGGATAC